CACTGGAAGGATGTGCAAAAAATTAATAAGAAGGGTTATATGGGATGGGAACCAGAGTGAACAGCAATAAGGGGGAGTAAGACTGCTCACAGTAAATCTTTTCAATATCACTTAATCTTTGGACCAAATGAATACATCACCTATTCACAATGTAAAATTACATTTAAAAGCATCTTTACTTTTTAAAAGTATTCCAAATGAGTTAATAACTATGTCCATACAAAGACCTGCACGTAGGAGGGAAGCAGGGCTAAGAAACAAAACAAAACAACAAACCAAAAAGAAAGCCAGAAGAAAAAAAAAAAACCTGCACACAAATGTTTACAGCAACTTGGTTCATAATTGCCAAATCTTGGGAACTCTGGTTCCCATCCCATATAACCATATATTTTAATAGGTGAACGGAAAACTAAACTGTGGTTCATCCAGACAGTGGGATATTTTTCAGCACTGAAAAGAAATGCACTACCAACCCGGAAAAGATATGGATGAACTCTGAAAACATAACTACTAAGTGAAAGAATCCAGTCTGAAAAGGCTACCCGCTATAGGATTCCAACTCCATGATGTTCTGGAAAAGGCAAACACCATAGAGACAGTGAAAAGATGAGGGGTTCCCAGGGGTTAGGAAGAGATAAATGAATAGGAAGAGCACAGAGGATTTTTTAGGATTTTAGGGCAGAGAAACTATTGCGTACGATGCTTATAGCATCGTGGATACATGTCATTATATACATCTGTCAAAATCCATTAAAATATACAACACAGAAAGCTGACCCTAATGTAAATGATGGATTTTAGTTAATAATAATGTATCAAGGTTGGCTCATGGATTGTAACAAATGTACCACATTAATGCCACATGTTAATAAAAGGTAAAGCTGGGAGGCCTCAGGATGAAGGGTTAATATGGGAACTCTCTGTACTTTCTGCTCATTTTTCTGTAAACATAAAACTGCGTTAAAAAAAAGGCTCTCAAACATTTTTGTAAAGATTTTATTTATTTATTTGACAGAGAGAGACACAGCGAGAGAGGGAACACAAGCAGGGGCAGAGGGAGACGGAGAAGCAGGCGTCCCGCGGAGCAGGGAGCCCGATGCGGGGCTCGATCCCAGGATCCCGGGATCATGACCTGAGCCGAAGGCAGATGCTTAACAACTGAGCCACCCAGGCGCCCCAGAAGCCTATCAATTTTTAAAAAAGAGAAAGGAAAAAGGAGCCCGGTGCCAGTCAGGACGGGTTCTGAATGGCATACAAATCAGCCCGGACTCTCCTCCTGTAAACACAACCATTTTTAAACAAGGCAGTGACAGAGTTGTGCTCTGAAAATTCTGGTGACCCCGCAGGCTGAAGGTTCTACGAAAAAGAGAGCCAGCGACCAATAAGCAGATGATAGCGGAAGGGAGACGGGGGTGGTTCTGAACGAGCAGGGGCCCTGGGAGGAGACAGGAACTCGGGAGCGTAAGCAACAGGACTTGGTGGCAGCCGTCCTCATGCATCCAGGGATGTGTGGGAAAATGAGGGTCAAAGTTTTCCTCTGGTTTCTAGATTAAACTATGTGGCAGACAATGGTGCTGACAGAGGCAGAAGAACAAACGAGATGGGGAAAATGAATCTGGTCTTTGACCTGTGACGCTATTTTATTACCTGCAGAATACGGATGTGGAAATGTACAGAGGCAGCTCCAAACACAGGTATAGGCAACTCAGAAAGGAGGTCAGGTTGCCTTGGAAACGAATTCCAGTAGGTATCAAACTGCACTTATTTATGCCAGGAGACGTCATTGAACCTCCCCAGTGTAGGGGAGTGATAATATAACATGGGTTAACAAGTGAAAGAAACCTAGTCTTTTTTTTCTACCCTGACTACCTGTGAAAGTAAAATACTGAGTTATTTAGCCTATCCCTCCCAAAAGAAAACACATTCTTCTAAAATATCTATTTCAGACATATTTATAAATGGCTTTTGTATGATGCTGTGGTCACTATGGCTACTAACAAGTGACCCCAAAATTTAGTGGTGTAAAACAACCATGTATTATGCTCATGAATTCGGCGGCTCAGGAGTTTGGACAGGGCACCACAGAGATGGCGTGTCTCCACTCCACAGTGTCTGAGGCCTGGAATTGTCTGAAGGGCCGTTCACTCACACATCCGGCAGTTGGCTATGGGTTGACACCGGTTGTTGGCTGAGGGACTTCGGTGCCTGTCCATGTGGGCCCCTCCCTATGTTCTTCATATGTGGGCTGGTTTGGGTTCCTTCCAACATAGTGCCTGGATGCTTAGGGTCAGATCCCGAGAGTGAGAGACTCCGTGCTGAATTCTTTTAGGACCCAGCCCTGGAGGTCACATCGCATCATTTCCACCAGGCTACACGGGTCAGAGCAAACACAAGCCCTCACCAAGATTCATGGGGGGGTGGGGGCATAACCCTCACCTCTCCACAGAGGAGTGTTCATCACACTGTAAGAAGTGCATGTAGGATGGGATTGGCTGCAGCTATCTTTGGGAAATTAAATCTGCCCACATGAAAATCAAAGTATTGTTTCAGTCGCTATGACTCTGAAAAAAAGCAACATTAAGGGAAGACAGACAGGGAAAGTCGAAATAACTCAAACCTGCAAACTTCACCTATGCCCAGTGCACTTGGTTCTGTGAAGAGAGAAACATTCAAATCCAAACAACATGGACATTGAAATATTAATGAATACCCATTTAAAAAGCAGCATGATCAAGCACCTGGGTGGCTCAGTCGGTTAATTGTCTGTCTTCTGCTCAGGTCATGATCCCAGGGTCGTGGGATCGAGTCCCGTGGCGGGCTCCCTGCTCAGCGGGGAGTCTGCTTCTCCCTCTGCCCCTCACCCCGCTTGTGCTCACTCTCTCACTTTCTCTCTCTCTCTCAAGTAAATAAATAAAATCTTAAAAACATGTATATTTAGGCGTTGCTTACAACATTAATAAATAAATAAAATAAAATAAAATAAAATAAAATAAAATAAAATAAAATAAAACCTAGCATGATCACCAGAGAACCTAGCACTCTTCTCTGCCTCTACAAAAGAAAAGTCCTGAAGTTTAGGGGCTCAGACCCAGTTAGTGGTGCAACACGAGAGGAGAGTGGTTCTGAGAAAGTCCTACGGGAGACAGGCTGTCACTGCCCCAACCGCACACAATCCATATGCCAAGTCATACTCCGTGCTGCCTGGCTGTGTCACCGCCTCTGCTCAATCCACCTAATGTCAGCAGCTCCTTACAGAGCTCTGTTGCTCTTTGGTGCTGCTTAGTTGCCTTTAAAAGACTGAAACAGATAAAGATTCAGATAAGAAAATAAAACACACGTTGATGAATACCCTTTTAAAACTTATCACAATTACCAGAAAAAAATCAGTTTATCTTAGAAAGTATAGAACACCAATGAATAGAGGTTTACATCAGTGGAAAGAGCTCATTAATTTACCCACCCCCAATTTTTTTCTCTATATTCTTCATCCTTTAACAAACAACTACCATTGAAACACACACACACAAATAAATACACCATAACCAAGAAGTTTATTCCATGAATGCAAAGATGGTTCAATTTATCAGATAAATTGAAAGAAAAAAAATCAAATGATTATCTCCATCTCACTAAAAAAAAAAAAAAAAAAACCTTTAACAAAATTTAACACCTATTCTTGAGGGTTTTTTTTTTTTAACCACAAAAAGTAAAAATTGATGTATACTTTTAACATGATAAAACTATATAAATCTCAGTCCTAAAGCCAATATCTGAGTGACTGGAGAATCACTAGAGGCTGCCCCACTCAGGTTAGGAACAAGACAAAGATAACCACTACCACCACTAAATATTAACACTGAATCCAAGCTATCGGCCAATCAGACAAGAAAACAGAGATGTAAGAACAATCAGACTATCTCTGTTTGCACGTGTTGATAACAACAAACCTGGAAAACCCAAAAGGATCAATGATAAAAGCTGACACAACCAATGAAAGAATTTAGTAAAATAGCAGACTATAGAATTGACATACAATAGCCATCACAAAAGTCTGACAGTACACTCTGGGAATACGGAAATACAGGCATTGTTCCATTGTTAGTAGAAATGCAAAAGTACACCACCTGTGTGAGGAAATAAGATAATATCCAAAAAATTACACACTTATTTACTCTGTGATCCAACAATCCCATTTTAGGTATCTATCCCAGAGAAGGACTGACAAAAACTGATTTGTAAGCACTCAGAATAGGAATTGATGGATAATTTTTTAACATGATACATTACATAAACCAAGGCCAGATACTGTAACAGATACACCAGGCTATCAGTCCCTTCAAAATACAACATATCTGTAATAACAAAAGACTGGAAAACAACCCAAATGTCCAGCAACGTGGGACTGATTAAACCATGATACATCCATAGAATGGAACACTCTGTAGCTCTAAATGAGGAATGAAGAATAGTACCTCTATTTACCATATGGAGTGATCTCTAAGATATGTTTTAAGTTGAAAAAAGCAAAGTGGACAAACGTGTACATGGCACACCACCATTCATCTAAGAAAAGGAAATGGGATAAATGTGTGTGTGTGTGTGTGTGTATAGTTTATTACATACATAGGTAACTCTTTAAATGGAAGGACAAACCAAAGGAACTTTCAAAACATGGAACATCTATCTACAGGAGAAAAAGTAAGTAGAGTAAATGAGACAAAGCTAGATACCAGACTTCTACGAATACACCTTATTTTGTACATTTGACTTTGGAACCATGTTAACATTTTACTTAATTATAAAACAAGGGCTATAGCCACGAGTAGTATTATTCCCCATGTGATCCTGTTTTTAAGGCCGTGAACAAACCTACGTGGGCTCAGGAATCAACAGAACCGACATGCCAGTTCTGGCCGGTGAGCCGACTTAGGGAGAGGTGCGCTGGGCCAAGCCGGAGGAAGGGAATGAGCGCCAAGGAGAGACTGTAACACGGGGCTTACCTCAACCTTGCTCTCAGGTTCATGATCAGCAGCTGAGAAATACAAGACCTCCTGAACTTCATCCCTGGGCCGAGCCGAATTTTTCCCAAACACCACCAGCCCATCCTTAGCACGCGGTGGGAAGGCCACGAAACAGTAACTTGGAGGAGGGGCAGCCATCCTGCAAAGAGAGAGAGAATGCCAGGGACGGCCTGGAAGCAGCCGTGACGTGGGACATTCCAATAGTGAGTTCTTCAAACACATTGCACCAGTGAACATCGTCTTCATATTGATCTCTGTGCAGCTAGCGCATTAAGAGAAGCCAGCTGGGGGGGCGCCTGGGGGGCTCAGATGGTTGAGCGTCTGACTTCGGCTCAGGTCATGATCCCAGGGTCCTGGGATCGAGCCCCGCATCTGGCTCCCTGCTCCACAGGAAGCCTGCTTCTCCCTCTCCCACTCCCCCTGCTTGTGTTCCTGCTCTCGCTTGCTCTCTCTGTGTCAAATAAATAAATAAAATCTTTAAAAAAATTTTAAAAAAAGAGAGATGCCAGCTGGCACATGAAGCTGGGCGCCCGGAGTAGAATTACAGAGCCACCGAGACCAGATAGTGTTCAGTACTCCATGGGAGTAAACGAGCTCAGGTTTGCCACAAACTGCAGTCAGGGGCAGCCCAAAGCTCCATGATGTAGGAGAAAAGAAAGGAGGTTACTGTTCCCGGCAGAAAACACAGACTGCAATCTGTCACAGTAATAGAAAAATAAATAAATACACTTGTAACAGTGTCCCACGCAAGTGTCTCGGATCTAGAGTTGTGTGGCTTCCACCTAATGGATTTGGGGGTAGTGATGGGGAAATGGGTCTAGAGAGAAAGTGAAAGATACTCCCCCTATTTTATGTATTTTTGCTCTACCTCAATGACACGACGCTCAGGGATCTCTTGGTTTTCCTCCAACCTCTTCAGTGCTCCTGGGCTGGCTCGTTCTCTTCGACGTGGCCACTGAGTTTCCTCACTGCTTTACTCCTCTTTCCTCATTTCACGTTCCTTTCTCTCTGGGAGAGCTCATCCATGCCCACTGGTCACTCATGTGGCCGTGACCTACACAGTCAATCCCAGCTCAGTTCTCTCCTGGAGCTCTGGACCCATAGATCCAAATGCCTTCCTGATACCCAAAGCTGATTTCATCTTCTCTCCCAAACATCCGGAACTCAAAAACTATCTTTATCATCCACTTCTCTGTTACCTAGCATACCACCAAATTCCACCTGTAGACTTGATTTCCTAAATCCCTTTGGAAACTTGCCACTTCTCCCCATCTCCACTACCACCACTCTGCACCAAGCCGCCATGTCTAGCCTGGATCCCCATGGCAGTCTCTTAAGGGGTTACTGCATACTCACTATTAATCCCCCTCCAAAACACTGGCACATGGCAGCCAAAGCGATCTTTTTAAAAGAAAGGTTTGATCATGTTAGTCTTGTCACTCTGCTTAAAATCCTTCAGAGGTTTCCCATGGTTCTTAAAATAAAGACCAAAATCTGACCAAGCTCGTGCCTCCTTCCCCAGCCTCACCTCCTGCCACTTACCATTCTGCACTCTCAACTGCAGCAACCAGGCCTTTTTCCAGCCCCTCTGATCCTCACAGGGCCTTTGCACATGCTTCACTTCTCTCTCTGAGCGCTCCTCTCTCTGTTCCCTATACCAAAACCATTTTTCCTAGTTAACTTCTACTCCTTCATGTACCAGCTCAAACATCAGTTGAATTTATGTTACCATACTGTATGCTCTCATAGAATCCCACCTTTTTCCTTTATAGCAAATCTCAATCGGAAATATTTGTGTAATGATTTTATTACCAACAATCAATACTTGGTCTTTCCCCCCAAAGTCTAAGTTATATGAAAGGGGGAGGACCATGTCTCTTTTGTATACCACTGTAAACCCAGCTATACACAAGGTCTTCTGCAGGGTAGCTTTTCAAAAAATAATAAACAAGTGCTTTTTTCTTCTTTCTTAAAACTGAAGCCAACCATGCCTCTGTACCTGGCTAGAATGCCCTGCCCGTAGTCTGTGCATAACCTTCAGGATCTGATTCAAAATCCCTTTCTTTCAGGATGCCTTCTATAAAGGAATCTGTCATTTTCTCAGCATCTATATGCACTAAAGCATCCAGTTTGTTCTAGGATGATGTGCATTCGTTTCTTGTAAATGTACTGCTTCAAATGTTTCAAATAAAGATCCCTGAGGGCAGGGCCCAGACCACCCAACTACAGCAGCCCCTTTCCCAACCCCCTATTATGGGCAGTCAACAAACATTATCTATTAAACCAAATATCATATTTGTGTCCTCAGTTATCCGACTTAGGTGTGTTTTATTTTACAATTCCAAAATATGAATGAGAAGGAAAGCAACATTCTCAGCAAAGCCAGTGGGATTCAAAACAGCCTCACCACCTACTGCTGTGTGACCCTGAGCAAGTCACTTCACCTCTCTGCGCCTAGGTTTTCTCTTCGGCAAATGTTTGGCCCCAGCCCGTAAGTTTATCATCAATATGAGAGGACATAATGCTTGAGAACAGATTTTGCAAACTGTGGAGGCTACATGAGTATAAGATATTCTATTTGGGTTTAGACTGTTCAAACAGAGCAGCATCTCAACATTTCTACAGGGCAGGCAACCAAAACCATCTCACTCATAACTGGAGCAGTTATCATTCTGAGTTTGCAACCATCTTTTTGAGGGGCCCTATTGCTATGTCTGCGTCCACGCTGCTTCACGTCAGTCTGTCCCTGCACACAAACATTGTGTGAACTCCCAGGGTCCTGAGAAGCAGGGGAGCCCATAGCTCTGAAAATCACTCCCCCCCTCAGCTCAGAAAAATCTCTCCCCGCCCTTTGTGAGAAAGAAAAGGCAGGAAGATAAAGAAACTCCAGTTCCTTCTCCCATTATCCTTTTCTATTTCCACAAAAACACCATTATCTTCAGACTTGAGGGGTAGGAAGCGATCAACCAAGACCCTGTATGTGTAAGAAAAACCTAGAATCATTGTAAGATAAAATGCATTAATAGCGAGTTTCTACATTTGAGGATGGGAAGAATTGCTGGCTGAGCGAGATAAAGTGAAAATCCAGACAACAAGATGGAGAAAGGGTACCTTCACCTGTGTCTGTCTGCCTCCCATGTGTGAGAGAACTTCCCTTCCTTCTCCAACATTGGGTCATTTCAAAAGTGCTGGTGTCTCATCTATGAGCCGAACCTTACTTTACTTGGCCCTTAAAAATAGTAACAATCCACTGGTCTCGCATTTATGAGATACATCTATAAAAAATAAATAAAACTCACAGGGTTTTTGACAAGCACCTATTCTATTCTTCAGCCAGGACATCTGCCTGGTTAGCAAGTCATACGAATCACGTGATCATGATCTGGATGTAGGCAATAGAAGCCCAGGGGTATGTGGGCCCAGAGAGGCTGGCTTTTCCATTGCATCTTGTGAAAGACTGGGAATACCAGAAGGGAGCAGAATTTTAATGTCTATTTTTTTTAATGCTAAATGAACCAGCAAACTGTGTAACAGATCCAGTAGCAAACTAGCCAAGGATAATTGTCCCTTTATTTTTCCTGGATCACCATTCTAGACACTGACTAGCCTCAGAGATGACTTAGCTGGATCCTTTTCTACTCTCTAGATCAGTGCTGAGCCAAAGAACTTTCTACCTTGATGGAAATGTTCGATCTCCACTGACCAATATGGTGGCCATTAGCCTCATGCAGCTATCAAAGTATAGTTATAATTAAGGAACTAAATTTTTATTACAAACTGTAACTAGTTTAAATTTAATTAGCCACACATAGGTAGCAGGAATGCTATTGGACAGAACAGCATTACAACTTCCCAATAAACCCAGAAATGAAGATTTTCACATGAAGCCTTCCAATAATCCCCAAAGTGTTTCTTTGTGAAGCCCTCCACATATTCTAATGACAAAATATGCTACCATCTATATAAACTGAATTAGCAAAGAGGAGGTAGTACACTTCCAGAAGACTGAAAACAAATGTTAGGAAGTAGCTACTAACTCACCAGGTGGACTGAGTTTAAGCAAGCTCTTTTCTCCAAAAGCTAAAGGTAATCATAGCCCTGGATGCCAATTCCATTTCTCTTGATGTGAGTCTCATATTCCTAACTCTGAATACACCATGAGCATGTTCCCCATCGCTGCCTGGAAATCTTGGGGGTACCTCTCCAGTCAATTCCACTCTTTACCTCCTGAATGAACTTTTGAGACCTTCACTTCTCGTCAAACCTCCACCTACCTCCTCTAAGTGGACATCTCACCTCCTCCTGCACAAAGAAGAAATGGCCAGGGGAGGGAGACTGTTTCAGAGGTACAATAAGCAGCTTTGAAGGTCCTGTGGCTGGAGGAAGGGCAAGCAGCCAATAAATCAAAAAGCCAATGCAGCTGAGGCCAGAGAGAATGGGGAAGAGGCTAGAGAAGCAGGTAGACAAGCCGGTCCACGTTAAGCCTCGCAGACCACGGCAGGGGTTGTACTGTCTATTCCGTGATAGACATGGAGGTCTACCCCACTGAAGGCTTTTAAGTCAAGTGTTAGGTAGGGGCTGGGGCCGGTGCACATAGACAACTTTTCAAAGAAGGCAGCTTTGAGAGAGAAGAGACAGCTCATTAGATGTAAATGAAGGGGTCAACAAGTAATTGTATTTCTATGTATCTACCCTAAGAAAAGATCAGGAACACGGACAAGTTTCATGCACAAAAATGTTTATCACAGTGGTATTTATACAGGTGGAAAACTGAAACCTAATTGTCCAGCATCAGAGTAATAGCTTAAAAATTCATGCTACATCAATGCTATAAAACCATTAAAAACGTTTGCAAAGAATTTTTAATGGCACAGAGAAATGACTGGGGAGGAAGATCCAAAATGAATTACTTTAATTATGTAAAAATACACATAGAAAAGGAAATGTGCCCAAAATATTAACAGTGGTAGCCTGACCACTGAATTCTAATTTTTTCATATTTTCCTTTGATTTCCAATTTCCCTACAAGTATTTATACAAACACAAAAATGATTTTTTTAAAATAAACGTAGTGGATAGCAACAATTTGGGAATTTTTTTTTTTAGATTTCTTTATTTGACAGAGAGAGAGAGGGAGG